ATGTTTACTCCAAGAGTAAATATGTCCAGAAGTTCTTCACCCAGAAGCTCCCCCACCAATCTTGATTCCCTGCCTAAAAAAGGAAAATAACTTTGCAAGGATTAAAGTGAACTTTTCTTGTAATATCTCTCATAGCACCAGGTACAGGGACGTCAACATCATTTTCACTATAAAAAGAACTCTTTAACAGAGGAACATATTATTTAAGAATGTATTGTTAGTGACATCCATTAATCTTAACTTAAAAAGTGTATTTTGGCAGCTTGTTTTCTCTACTATAAATGAACTATTACTTTAATCTCAGTCATTAGTGAAACAGTTTGATATTTCTTAATTAATGTCTACTAAATTTACTTATGATAGACACACTCTTTTGCTAGAGGCAAAACAGATACACTAAGAGGTTATTAATTCCTATTTAGCACCATACAAAATTACTAATTGAGGTGGAATTTTCTGCCACTGTACTTTATTTTTTTTTAAATGAAAAAGATGTAGGAGTGTGACTGACTGGTGTGCCCATCCAATGAATGTAGTAATTTTTCAGTGCCTGTCAGCTTGAAGACAATGTTTCGCCCCAGTGTTTTCTTTCAAAGAGCTCCAGAGGAAATTTAGCAAGATTAGAAAAGACACAATGGAACTGTATAAAAGTTATTGACTTTTTTTTTCTTTTACACATTCTGTACACAATAGTGACATCTTCTGGCTGGCTGGAATATTGACGTTTGGGAATGCTTTGAAAACCAAGTCCAATTCTTTTATGATCTCTCATGAAAATATGCCTATTTTGTATAAAGATCTAATGTGAAATATTCCTAAATCAGAAACACCTCATTTTAAAATACATGCCATCAAAACGTCAATTTAATTATTTTAAACAGAAGATAGAAAAGGCAATACTAATTTCTTCAAAATAAATTTGAAACAGGTTAACCGTAACATTAACTGATGTTTAAAATTCACTTGACACAATTAGCAAGTCTATTTTTAAGCATCTTCTATAGAAATTTCATTTTCTGAAAACTATAAAAAGAGAAAAGTTCAACAAGATATTCTCAGGCTATTTTCAGTGAGAGATGAGAAAGGTTTCGGGTGTCTTGGAGAAAGACAGACCTAACATTTATGGCCCTCCTTTCCTCACTGGTGCTTTCATAAGGTTCTTTGCCTCTGCAGAGCTCCTCAGTCACCTGAGGATGCCCTAAGGGTGCTATCCTTAGAGCTAGACTCTCATTCACCTAAGCAACTCTCTCCTAGAACAGGAAGCCAGCCTACAGTCACCAGTTTCCAGGGATAATAACCTTAGGAATCCAGAATCTTGGTCCCTCTCATAATTTCCCAGGTATCAGGAAATTAAATATAACATTTATATCACAACCTCATTCCCAAGACAATAGAGAGAAGGTTATTTCAGTAACTCCAAGGTGATTTTCTTAAACCTCTCTCACTAGAAGAAATGAAAAATACCACCTATACGCCTCATTAATCAACTAAATAATCAACACCAAGAAAATTATAACCAAAGACGAAAGCTAAGTCTATTTGTAAAATTAGAAGAGAAAAAAACTGAGAAACTGAATTAACATTGTTCCATCAATCATGAATGTAACAATGAGTATAAGTTCCAGTCATTTTAAAAAGATAATTCAATCTTAAGGGAAAAATGTAAATTTGGGTGATTTGAAGTGCTTTAAATAACAATAAACCAGAAGACATTAAAATTATACTAATTATATTTATCCTATCATCTGGATCAGCTAGTATCTTTCTTGATAATAACAGCTCTTCACAATCTCATTACATAAGTCTAAATAGATATTTGTAAAGAACAGACCATTCACATATTTTAATGCTAGATAATATGCTAAAGAATACAGGTATTATTCTTCATTGCATTAAGAAATTAAGGTATGTATGTTTCCTGAAATTGCAAATCAAATTTGACCAAAAAAAAAATCTATAAATAATGTATAGTTATCCTTTAAATGATGCATAAACTGTTAAGATTAATAAAAATTTAACATTATAATCAGGGTTATATGCTGGAAAATTTCTGAATTCATAAAAGAATATACTGTCAAAAGTGACAGAAATAAACAACTAACTTATTTTATTACCTAACTGTAAAAGTTATGCTCATTGTTTCTGTTAGTTGTTTCTAATATTGTTATTGCTTTGTTACATTTCTAATCTTTTTCAAAAATGTTCTCTATGTAAAGGTATTAGCAAGCCTCATACAATGGATGGCTACTACAACAATTTTCAAATAGAAATTTTAAATGATCTTGAGGTATATAGTAGTAAAATAAGCAACGGCAAGGACCATCACTTAATTGATAATAAAATCAACTATATTCCATGTAGGAAATACCCAAAATTAAGTGTTATCTTTAGATACAATGTATACAACCCATTAGCAATTTTCCTCATATTAGTTAAATAAAATGCTAATACTCACTAGTCATTAGTATGATTCATAAGAGTTTGAATGGATCAGTAACATTTACAACATTGAATTCATCTCTACCATGCGCTATCTAAATAGTTGCACAAACCCAAGCATTTAAATAACCTAATACTTAGACAATTCCTAATAATTTTTGTTACACTATTAACAAAAATGTCATTCTAAGATAAATACTAAATACTATATGTTTTAGAATACTTTCTGTCAAAAGATTGAGAATTTTTAAAAATAAATGCTAAATTTAAAAGATAATCATCCTTTCCAAATAATGCACAAGATTTAATGTAATTCTAGTGAAGACTCCAGTGGGATTTTATTTAACTTTTTACAATCTGAGTGATATCTAGTTCTTCAAATAAATATTTAGTGAAGTACAATGCATATGCAGAAAGTCCACAAACCATACGTACATAGCTAACTTAGCTATGTCTCACTAGTCTAACAATTTCATAACTCTTCTCCATAGCTCCTTTTGAAAGCAAGTGTTGTTTATTAGCATTTGGCTTGGTGAGACAGTTTCTCTACTCTATACGGAATTGATTTGGGGGATTTATTGAATCTTTCTTTGTGAACTAGTAGATTGTCAATTTTTATAAATATCTTACATGTGCTTGAAAAGTATATTTCTTCCTATTCTTGCTAGGCACAAATTTATATAAAAGCAAAGGCATGCTACTCTATTAATCAAATTTATATATTATTTGCTTTTTTATTCTTATATCCAGTTCTCAGAGGAATATGCTAAAGTTAGCATGCAATTTGTTGTTGACTTATTTATTCTTCTGTAGTTCTTCAGATTTTGCTTTATTTGTGTTAAGGCTATATTGTTGATTGCAAATATGTTCACAACTATGTTATATCTGTATCCTATATGATGTTTTGGCTGTGACTTCTATTTTGTCTGAAATTAAATTTACAAGCCCTATTTTCTTGATTCATAGTTGCTTATTTATTTCCAAACTTTGTTTATAACTTTGTGGTGGCTAGACCTGGAAACCCTCAAAAAAATCTAAGAGCCTCTTGTTTTTAGCACTAGATCTGAGCAAAGATGTAAGAATTAGACCAGACCAATGAGAAACCATTATAGTCTAACTTAATTGTGTGCTTTCCCACAATTAGTCACATTTAACAAGTAAACTTAATTTTTCCTTCTTACACTGTAATGTTCTTTAATTACCCAAACTCTTCAACATATTATTGAAAAGATGTAATATAGTAAAGGAATACAGCATAGCACACTAGGATAGCTGTATTCATGAATATCAGTAACCAGCACCAAATGAAAGATTGTTCCATCAGGAGAGGGTGGATATAGGGAAGAGTATTTTACCATAAGGAAAACTAAAGAATGGACAATCAAGAAAAAATGAAAAACTGAACAGTGGGATATATAGATCTTGAGAGAGGAAAAATTGACTCTTGGAAAAACTGACATTTAGAAACATATGTCAATGATCTCCAAATATACAGCCAAAAATGAAGTAGTTACTCTTTACTATATATAAAATAGAAGATTTTTTGCTGTACTCTTATCATTAGGGAAGAGTGGACAGCAGCCTATAACTTAAGGTTGGGGATTGGATTCTGTTTTTTTTTTTTTCTATTGACAGATTTTTTGAAGATAGACTAATATCATTTTCATTGATGTTGCCTTTTAAAATACGACCTTGCTTTTGATAATATCATCTAGAATGTACATTTAAGTCTGTGACATTATTTCCACTTTAAGCTGTCACTCACCACAAGTCCTTTCATAGTATAACTTCAATTTTGATCCTCTGTTACCTAGATTCTTTCCTTATCCCTCATCTAAAGCTGTGAGATGGTCACAGAAATAGCTCTACTAGTTCCAGAAAGTCTTTCTGTTTTGGTTCAGAAGACAGAGCTTTCTTATCATGTTTGTTTTTTTTTTAGAATAACAAAAAATATTTTACTAAAACATAAGATTTACAGAAGTTTCCAGATAAGCCATACAAAATGGTCACAAGCTTTTTCTTGAAGGGAGGATTCTACACTTGACAGCAAAGTCACAATGTTATTAATGAGGGCTGTGATGTTTAATGTTCCCATTTTGGTTCAAACAATCAAGCTTGTCCATCACAGCATCTAAATAAAGTTAGACTTGCTAAGAGAGGATATTCTAAAGAACTGGTTAGCTGCTTTAAACCAATGCAATTAGATCGCCTTAAAAAGGGGGAAAGGAACCCATAAAATCAAAATAAAACTACCCCCCTCAAAAAAATAATAAAGAAAACACCCACACCCCTGCAGCTAATCCTGACAACTACCTTCATTCACAGTGCTTTATACTTAAACCATGATGGGGAAAATGAATAAAAGCAGAAAGGGGCCACTGCTTTTAAACGTTTCACAACAATCCAGATGATACTTCTAACCTCTGCTCATGCTTTACAACAGTGAATCAGGACAAGACATAGATTTGCTAATGTGCATTTAATCACCAAAGGACTGAAGATGTCTGGGCTTTTATTCTGTAATATTTCTAAGACTGTGTCCATTAAACTCAAACAAAAAAAAAGGAAGAAGTCTTGGCAGAACAGGAGAAGTGATGCACACTTGATGATCAGATCGGTTTAAATATTATTCATGGCATATAGCCTAGTCCATGCTCCAGCTCTTTCTATGGCTTGGGCTTCGTTGGTCTTCCACTGCTCTGCTACATCATTTGCTAATGGATCATCTGGATTGGGAGCAATTAACAAAGCCTGGATTGATAGCAGAACTGTGCGGATCTGCAGTGCTGGAGACCACTTATCTTTCAAAATATCTAAACATATTCTTCCCAACTTGTCTACATTAGGATGATAAATTTTGGTCATGAAACGTACTTTAGGGGCTGCCATTGGGTATTCTTCTGGAAGGAATAGTTCAAGTTTAAAAGTCCCTCCCTCAAAAGGGGAATCCTGGGGCCAGCAATGACCATATGAAAATAACGGGCGTTGCTTTCATCTGGTTCTGCTTTAATGCCGGGGACTGGTTCTGCCAGCGAACGCTGGGTTTCCTCGATGATCCTGCGGGGCAGCCCGGCCAACTTGTCAGATCCCGAGTCTTACCATGTTTTTTAAGCTATTCTCATCAATTTTAAAGAATATAGATTTTGTTGTCTTTCTTGAAGAAAACTTATGTACCACTTTTCCTGGACTCATGTAAAGTTTTACTTTTCTGTCTTTATTAGTATTCGATGCAGAGACTAAGATGGAATAGCCACTCTTTATTTTTTTAAGTTTATTTTATGTAATTCTTACATCATTTTTCATTTTTGCATAATGTATGCATTTTCATTTTGGTTCTATTCCCCATACAATTGCACCCCCCCTTATTTTGAACCTTAATCCTTCTTCTCCTGGTGCTCCCCCGGCCCCTATAATGTGTCTCTGGTTTATAGTTGCTTGTTGATTTTGATTTTTACTTTGTATTAATTAGTCTTTTTTCCTGGTCCCTTATTTAGGTTTTCTAAATTCCTGCTATGAGTGACACCATCTGGTATTTTTCTTTCTCTTTCTGACTCATTTCGCTGAGCATGATCCCTTCCAGCTCCATCCATGTTGCTGAAAACTGCATGTGTTTATCTTTTTTTGATTGCTGAGTAATATTCCATGGTGTATATGTACCACATCTTCTTGATCCAGTCATCTGTTTTTGGGCATTTGGGTTGTTTCCATAGCTTAGCTGAAATAGCCACTCTTTATTATCCACCATCCTATATTGGAATTTTAATATTTCCAGTCATTGATATCACAGAATCCAATCCCCAACCTTACAGGCTGCCATCTGACTAGACAATACTAACTATTCAATAATGAATAAAACTGCTCCATCTTTAAATTATGTAATAATAGTATAACCCAATATTGCAAAGATTTTTTTTTTAATTCAGTTACATCCCAGAACTGTTTTTCAGTTAATATTTTTAATTATTAAACTTAAGGAAATAAAAATGTCTATACTTTTTGTTTGAAAGAGAAAATATATGAATCTCTCAGACACACAGAAGTATGCCTAAATGATGAATTAGGTATTTTATAACTGTAACATATTTCCATTGTTATTCACAAGTAAATAAGTTGTTTTGCTGCCAAATATAAGTAAGCATTTCTTCAAGTGTCAACTTTAAATACAGAATTAAAAAATGAGCTAAGGGCATTTAAAGAGAACAAATTCATTTGTATTCCTACATAATTTTCAAGAACCGGAGTCCTTTAGAATTTGAAAATCTTATATTTTCACCTAGTTCTTCCTCTAGTGCAGTTCTTTTGTTAGTCCCATGTAAGCTCTTTTAGAATACTTATCACACTTTCATTTTTATGTGAACCTTAAGGTTATGAACTTCAAACCTATAAGAAACAATACATGTTGCAAAACACCATGCAGAACATTTTGTTTTTCTTATAATGTATGTCCTGCACATATTGTTGGATAAATGGTTTTTAAAGGAAATGATAACTAGCTGCACACAGGGATCAATCTTAATGATTCAAGGCATTTGTTTCATTCTCTAATTAGTATAAAAATTAAATTTTCAAATTAGCCTTAAAGAAATATGACTTGTATTTAACAAATCTCCAGAAATGTTTGCAAACTGAAATATTTTTCTGAGCCAAAAATTGACTCTCTTCAAACTCCATCCTTCACTTCTTTCTAGCATTGAATATGTCCATTTTCTCCTGCCTCTAGATTCAAGCTGAAACATCAGTTCTTCCTGGGTCTAGAATTTGCCTTCATTCAGACTGGAACTATATTATTGGCTTGTGAAATATGAAAGGTGGCCATAAGGTGAACCACACTTCAAAAGAGTTGCCTGAGTATTCCAGTTCACAGACAAAAATCTGAGAAACATATATGGGAACGGATACTAAGGATGTAAGATAAAGTTGGAAAGTACTTTGCATCAGGCTGAATTTATTGATAAGGTTTCACTAAGCAGATATTCTGCATTTAATGTTGTATTTCAGGAGGTTGAAAAGGTCTCTAACACTATGGTTCGTCAACTGGCTAAAATATGAAGAAAAAGATTGCCCGCAGGGGGCATGTTAGAAATATCAGGCTCAGGCCTCCCTGGTGGTGCAGGCAGTTGAGTGCCACACTGTGAAGCTGTTCACAGCCTCTACAGCCTGGGTTAGATCCTGGCTGGCCGGGGAGAAACCCATATGGTGCAGCAGACCTCTCCTGTCTCACCCACTGCTCCCCTCAGCAGTGAATTTCGTCAGTCTGCCTGTTCTGTTCCCCACTCTATCTCTGGTGAATCCTCTCACCCTCCCACACATCTGGCCTGTACCCCAATTCTTGAATAAATAAATCTTAAAAAAAAAGAAAGTAAGAAATATCAGACTTGCTGAGCCTCCCTAGTGGTGCAGGAGTTAATCACACAACGCTATCAAGCTATCCACAGACACTGCAGCACAAGTTTGATACCCAGTCAGGGAGCTAACCCACATGGCACAGCAGACTTCTATCTCACCCACTGCTCCCCTCAGCAGTGTATTTCAGTACATCTGCTTGTTCTGCTCCCCACTCTGCCTCTGATGAAACCTCTCATCCCCCACACCTCTGTCCTACACCCCAGTTCATGTATGCATAAATAAATAAACCTTTAAAAAAAAGAAATAATCAGTCTTGCTTTGGTATAATGCAGAAGTGATTCAAAGGCTTAGGGAGATTGTAATGTTAAAATGGATTCATCACTTAAGAGGTATTCACTCAAAGGCATCCCTGAATGCAAATATTGTGGAGTATTTTGCCTATTCTCCTCTGTTTATTCTGATTTCATAAAATTCTAAATCCAAGTCTTTAATATATTTAGAGTACTTTTGCATATAGTGTGGCCAGTTTTGTTCCAATTTTACCAACGCTATTTGTAGAAGAGACTTATCTTTCTCCTTTGTATATACTTGACTCAGTTACCATAAGTTAACTATCTATAAAAGTGTAGTTTTATTTCTGAACTCTCAATTCTATTCCATTGATGTGTGTCTATTTTTATTCTAATACCATACTGCTTTGATTATGATAGTTTTGTATTACAGTTTGAAGCCTCAGCACATGATACCTCCATGCTTCATTTATATCAAATTGTTTTGGCTATTTGCAGTCCATCGTGGTACATTATTAATTTCAGTAATGTTTTCTCCATTTCCCTGAAGAAAGCCTATAGAAAATTTGATAAGGATTGCATTGAATCTATATATTGCTTTGGGTATGATTTCCATTTTGGATGGTACTTTCTTCCAATCCATGACCAAGGAATATCTTCCCATTTTCTTTCCATTTCAATTTCATTTAATAATGTCTTATAACTTCCATTGTAAAGATCTTTTGCTTTGTTGTTTATTCCTATTTATTTTTGATATGATTATAAATGGTATTGTTTTCTTGATTTCTTTCTCATCTATTTTATTGTTTGCTTATAGGAACACAATAGATTTTTAGAAATTTATTTTTGTAGTCTGTCTCTATATTGTACTGTTATTGTTTCCAATAGATTTTCAATGCAGTTTTTAGGGCTTTCAATGTATAAAAACATGTTGTCTGCAAACAATGCTAGCTTTACTACTTCTTTCTCAATTTGAATTCCTTTTATAACTTTCTCTTGCCTAAGTAGGATTTCCAAGATTATGTTTAATAGTAGTGGTGAAAGTGGATATCCTTGTCTTATACCTGCTCTTAGAAGAATAGCTTTCAGTATTTTAACAGAGTATGGTAACAGCTGTGGACTTGTCACATATGGCCTTTATTATGTTAAGGTATGTCTCTTCTATGCCCATTTTACTAAGAGTTTTATCATAAATGAATGCTCAATCTTGCCAAACGCTTTCTCTGTATTTAATATGATTAATATATTTGGGTTGATGAGGTGAATTACATTGATTGATTTGCCTATGTTGAGCTACTCTTGCATCCCTAGAATAAATTACACTTGTTGATGATGTATAAACCTTTTAATTATATTGTTGAATTTGACTGGCTTACTTTTTTTTTTTTTCCAGTATCTCAGCATCTAAATTCTCAGGTATATTGTTCTGTAGCTTTCTTTTTCTGAGATGTCCTTGTCTGCTTTTGGTATCAGAGTGATGTTGGGCTCATAAAATATGTTTGAAAGATTCTCCTCTTCTAACAGCAATGGTAATAAAATCAAGGGGAAAAAAAGACAGCATTGAACTAAAAATATCTTGTAAAAGAAAAATCCTGAGAATTAAAGGACACCCTACTGAGCAGGAGAATATTTGCACATCAAAAATCCAACAAGGGAGGCCTCCCTGGTGGTGCAAGGGATTAAGGACAGCACTATGAAGCTATCCACAGTCATTGCAGCATGAGTTCAATCCCCGACCAGGAAGCTAATCCAAATGGCACAGAACACCTCTCCTGTCTCACCTGCTGCTCCCCTCAGCAGTGTATTTCAGTCAATCTGTCTGTTCTGTTCCCCACTCTTGCGGTGTATCTTCTCACCTCCCACACCTCCGGCCTGTATTCCAGTTCTTATATGCATAAATAAATAAATCTTTTTAAAAAATCCAACAAGGGGCTAATATACAAAATACACAAGTCTAACTTGAATCACTGATCAACACAATGAAAACAAATACACCAATCAAAAATAAGTAGAAAAGTTAAACAGACATTTATCTCAAGAATACATACAGATGGGCCTCTCTGGTGGCGTATGCGGTTGAGCACCGTACTGTGAAGCTGTCCGCAGCATCTGCAGCATGGGTTCGATCGCAGCTGGCCAGCGAGAATCCCACATGGCACAGCAGGCCTCTCCTGCCTCGCCCGCTGCTCCCCTCAGCAGTATATTTCATCAGCCTGCCTGTTCTGCTCCCTGCTCTGTCTCCAGTGAATCCACTCACCCTCCCGCACATCTGGCCTGTACACTGGTTCTTGTATAAATAAATAAATCTTAAAAAAAAAAAAACACGTTGTTTAAAAAAAAAAAAGAATACATACAGATGGCAATATACACTGGAACAGTTAAGAAGTCCTCTACATTTTCATTTGATCTATACAGGTAGAAAAGTTCTAGAACAATTGAATGGGCACATGGAAAAATGCTCAACATTTCTTACCATCAGAGAAATGAAAACTGAACTACAATGAGATATGGACCATTCACACAGAATGAGAATGGGTCATACAAAAAAGACCAGAAACAACAGGTGTTAGGAACATATGAAAAAAAAAGAACTCCTGTATGTACACTGTTGGTAAGAATGTGAAATGGTCCAGCTCCTATGGAAACATTTTGGAGGTTTTTCACAATATTAAAAACAGGTCTGTCATATGATTCAGCAATCCACCACTTGTAATCTACCCAATGACACTAATATAAAGGGACACATGCACTCCTATGTTCATTGCAGCACTGTCAAAAATAGCCAAATTTTAGAAACAGCCCCAGGACAAATGAATGGATACAGATGATGTAGTATGTACACCCAATGGAATACTACTCAGCTATTAAAATAAAAGATGCAAACTTGCCATTCATGAAAACATGGATGGACCTAGAAGTTTGCCATGATAAAATAATTAAGTCAATAAGAGAAAGACAAATACCAGAAGATTCCACTCAAGGGTGGAATAAAAAAGTAGTGGGGAGGGTTGGAAGGAAGAGACAAAAGCCAAACCCAAACAAACCCTGGATATCTAATTGCAGGATTGAGAGTGAGGAGATAAGAGCAAAAGGGGAGGGAGCCCAGTGGATTATGGTGAAGGATCATTAATGCTCCTTGAGTGTGGTGTGATAAAATACATCTGAAAATGTGATAATATACCCCTGAGTCATTGATTGTAAACCAATGTTACCCAATTTTAAAAAGTACAATTGAAAAACAAAAAATATTAATGAATATATTTTCAGACAGAAAGAAATAAAATGTGAATAGGCTTTGAACCAGCAAATCCATTTCTCAGAAGTATTATATGTAAAATTAATGTATTACATATAATACATTTCTCAAAAGTATTATATGTAAAAGTATTTATATGTAAAAGTATTTGACTAGCTTTATAATAAAAATAATAATGAGACTTTTTTTAAAAAAGACATGCTCACCCACAATGAGACCATCCAGAAGACACCTTTCATCACTATGTTAAGGAATATGTTTGTGATGGAAGTCCTGGCATTCTTGAAGAGCTCCATCATGCTCTTCTCTGAAAACAACTTACAGCAAGAACCACAGTCACTGCACTAGGAAAACTAAATGCAATGGGAGTAATCTGATGCTGGCATGGCATGGGCTAAGTGTTAGCACTCAACTGTCAAAGGTAAGGTACAGTAATGATTACAGTAATGAAAGCAGAGTCAAAGCAGGAAGCAGAACACCCTGATCTAAAGAGATCTGTGCCATTGGATTATAGATCAAAGTGTTCCTAGAAGTGGGACAGTTAAAAAGCCTCATTTGAAATAAGGCATAAAAGTTCTAGACCAAGTGAATAAAAGTCTAACTTGAATCATAAAAACACAGTCATAACAGTAACTTCACAAATTTAAGCCAGTTTACAGACCCACTACTCCTTAAATAGACAGGAAGTCAGTTTCCCTTGATGAAGAACCCCAGGACAACGCCAAAAATTGATGTGATTAATCTTTTTTTTTTAAATAATAAATTTTATTTTTATAGTCCCCATACAATTGCAACCCCCCCATTCTGACCCCAATCCCTCCCCTCCCGCCCCTCACCCCCCAAAAAGTGTCTCTGGTTCATAGTTTTTTGTTGATTTTGATTTTCGCTTTCTTATAGTTATTCATTTTTCTGGTCCCTTATTTAAGTTTTCTAGATTCCTGCTATGAGTGAGACCATCCGGTATTTTTCTTTTTCTTTTTGGCTTATTTCACTGAGCATGATCCCTTCCAGCGCCATCCATGTTGCTGCAAATTGCATGTGTTCTCCAAGTCTTCCCCAAAGCAACCTACAATCTTTTATGGAAGTAACTGTATGCTGATGAAAATGAAAATGAAGTAGTGAGATTTTTCAGAGACTACTGGACAGTGGCTCTGAACTGACACTTAATTCCGGGAGACCTAAATGTTACTTTGATGTTTGTCCACCAGTCAGAGTTGGAGCTTATGGAGATCAGGTGGTCAATGGTGTTTTGGTTCAGGTCCATCTCACAGTAGAACCAGTGGGTCCCTGAGCCCAGCTGACTAGTTCTCCAGGTAAGGGATGCATAATCAGAATAGGCATACTCAGCAACTGGCAGAATGCCCACATAATTGCATATCAATCATTTGAAAAAACATTTTTTCACAGTTTTTCAGTCTTTCCCAAGACACTCATTTCACTCTTCTTTGTATTTTCTGAATGAAATTATTTCCAGGGATCTTATCATGCTTAACATTGTGCCATATTTTTAAATTTTCTTTTATGGAAGTAATACTGGCTTATAGCATTGCCTAGATTTCAGGCATATAGCATCACAGATCATTATGCATATGTATGATATATATGTGTGTGTGTGTGTGTGTGTGTGTGTGTATGTATAGCTTCCATCTATCACCATTCAATTGACTACTTTTACCAGTTACCCAAGCTCCTTCCCCCATCCTTTCCAGTAACTACTATTTTGTTCTGATTGTCTTAAGAGTTTGTATTTGTTCTACTTGTTCATTAATTTTACATCTCCCACATATAAATGAAATCATACAGTGCTTGTTTTTCTGACTTATTTCACATAACATAATACTTTCTAGTTTAATGCATGCTGTTGAAAATGGCAGGATTTCATCTTTCTTAAGCTGAAGAGATTACCTTGTGTGTATATGTCCCACAACTTATTTTTTTTAATTCATGATTAATATCACAATCGCATTCACCAAAATCCCATGAGAATTTTCTCATACAAATTACCAATAAGCAGAGTCATTTTCCAATGCATTAAAACAAATCATTTAAGGTAAAATAATGAAATTTATATTACTGCTGTTAAATTTCATCTTCTTGTTTCTAGACCTGCACTAAAAGCGATCAAGATGTCTTTGGCTCATAAGTAATTCAATAGTCAAACATTTATTGATGCCCCACTCTGAGTCAAACCTGGTAATGGTACTATAAAGACGAACAAGACACTGTCTTTGACCTCCAGTGCCTCTGTCTAGTAAGGGACATAAAAAGTAAATAATATAAATAAGCAATGTGATAAGTACTGTGTGAGTGCCAAGTAAAAAAAAAAAAAAAAAAAAAAAAAGAATAAATGCTTCTGCTAGAGGAAAAAAAAAAAAAAAACAGAAAAGGCATTCAACACTGAGCCCAGGCTAGAGCTGCCACAGCAATGAATGAGAAAGTGAGAGAACACGGAAGAGCAATCCAGAGGCAGACTAGTGCAGGAGTGTTGAGGAGGTCATAGGAAGAGAAGACTGAGAAGCAAGGAAGAGTCTGGAGACTCCAGAATGCTGGATTTCCAAAACCCTTAAATAATTTCCAGTGGTTCCTTAAATATATGGTAAACTTTAAAATAATCTGAATGAATAATTTTTGGTCAGTTAATAAATGTGGTAAGGTTGAAAACAGCCCAGTTGGTGAATTAATCTTCAACAACTAAATGTTGGATAAATTGATCTGGAGCTTAATTTGCTAAATTTTGGAGGATTGTATTTTCTAAAAATAACTACAAAATCATCTCCCATCACCTATTTTTTCTATAAAGTGATCTTTTTCCCCACTGAGAAGCAAATTTTATTTTCCAACAACTTAGTATAGCTTCTTTAATTAAAGAGTTAAATTTAATTAATTTAAAATGTTATATTTTATTAAATAAAACAAAAACTTAATTGATAGATGATCATTTATAATAACACAGCTTCAACAATGTGTGAGACAATATGATGTGTAAGAATAATAACTTAGGTGGTAAGTATATGGACCAGTTAGGAGGAAATGGTAACTATGCCAGGTGAAAAATGACCAGGACCCCTTGACTGAAAACACCATTGCAATTATTAATACCACCAATCTTGTTCACACTTAAGTCTTTACATTTTTCTATTAAGATTTTAAAAGACATTATTGAGCAAAATTACATCCTCCATATATAAGTTAACCTGTGGAGATCTACATCCCCATCGTCTATCCATTTCTATTTATTATGAAAATCTCAAAATAATCATGAAAAGTGAAGTACAAATATGTAATATTGAGCTAAAAAGCAAGTCACAGAAGAATCCAGTGTGAATCCAATATTAATAGTTCAAAAAAGGGGAAAGTAAACCACAGATTTGTAGTATATGAAATAACTAGAAATTCTAGAAAATTAAAACCATAAAATTCAGGCTGGTCAGGAAGTAGGGAGGGGAACTCTGTTGGGAAGGGATTATGTTGGCTTCAGCATTATTTGGTAATGTAGGCAACATCACTTTTCTTGAAGTATACACACCCTTTGATATGTATATTTCACAATGAAAAAAAAAAAGTACTAAGTTTTCAATGGTTTCCCTTTTCATTGCCCTAAGAACAAAACGTAGAATTCTAACTTGGAGGTACAAAAGTCAACAGAATTCAATCCCTGCTGACCCCTTTCTGTTTATCTCATTCTGGACTCTCCCAAGTTCTCTACATTCTAATCACACAGGTCTTCTTTCTGTCCCTTTAGCATTCAAATTCGTTCTTTTTCTCTGCATTTTCTCTCCCTCTACTTGAAATTATTTCTTTCCTGTTGATATTTGTAGATCAGACTCCTTTCCCTTCTCAGGTCAGCTCCAATATCATCTCAACAGACAGCCCTTCCCTGAACATCTAATAACTGGTTAGAGGCAGAATTAGATATATATCTGCATCTTCATGATGAACTTGTGGACAACAAATTTAATTGGAGTGTATCTCCATCATTGACTGATGTCCCACTACAATTTAAAATAAAGAGGGAAAATTGGATACTAAGCTGCTTAGTGGATTAAGCAATGTCAAATATAATTAACAGAGACAGCAGAGGAATGGGGAATGCAGACATTAGAAATAACTTGTATTGCTATATTAAAAGTTGACTACATCTTAATTTATAGATACTTTGAGTTCTTATGTTTCTGAATGACTATAGCCTGCTAATATAAACTTTACATTTATAGTGCTTAATTCAAACTCTTATTATTCTTTAGCTGAACTTTTGCCCCAATCAAAGTCAAATGCACTATCATTAATACTCCTCCACTCTCCCAATTTTAATTCCAGGATTTTAAAAATTGATTCCAGTCATTTATACTTAACAATTGAATAAGCTAAGAAGAGGGGAAAAAAGCATGATTAATTTTGAGTTCAGATTAATTCATCATACATAAATAGCTTGCATATTTCCTTTTAGAAATGAAAAAGAATACCATTCACTACTTCAAAGGAACACAGCAATTATCTGCATTTCTTAATTCTATCTTTAAACTACTTATTAGCTCATTTATTTCAAAGACCAATTAGTTTTGGTTGCTGAAGATATTATTCATATATAAGGAAGTAGTTGCTTTGTTGTAACCTTATTATTCCTTTAATTTCTATTGAAACTCAGCTTTGCACATTTTAATATGCTCATTATATTTCAAACATTAGTTCCCTGTTTCCTTGTTAACATGGTAGATCTCAAAAGAATTTGGTCTAATTCACATTATTTCTAATTTCAGAAAACACATGGCACACTTACAAAATGGCATTGTTACAAAAATTAAAGGCAATTGTTATAACTGACTGATCTATAAATAATACCTACTATATTTCTGGTAAGTGGCTTAAATGTCATTTCAACATAATGCAAGAGGTAAATAATAATGATTTTTCTTATACTATCTGATTAATACCTTTATTATCACCAAGATAAGTTTAAATGTTTACAGTTGACTCTATGTCATCCATTAGCTTAAATATTTAAGTGTAATAATGTACCAAAACAGGACTATAATAGTGTACCAAAGTAACTTCTGATTCAGGTTCTAGATTTATATAATTTAAAAGTTACGAATTACAAAGTAGTTATATTTTCATGTTACCTGCTATAAACTTCTATCAAAAATTTATTTTATCCTATTTTTAATATTTCTTGCACCCATTCAATATATAATTAAAGGTTATATTTTAAATGAAAGACACATAAATGAGGATGCACGAATTTCCCTAAAGCTAGTACACATTACATATCTATTTTTAAAAAAGCTTTCTTGCACTTATGGTATGTATTTTGGTTGAGAAACACTATATAATATTTTTATATAATGCTGATTTTTATATATAATCTGACTTGATTTGTGGGTATATAAGTTAGAATGGGACTATTTCAGTTAATAAATGAAATTGGTCATAACTTTATTTTTCTTCACTATAGTTATTCTGTTTTTGTATTAAATAGTAACCTCAAAAAATGACTTGCATTTCATTTGTGCTGTTACTATTCTCAGAAAAGTATATACATATTTTGATTGTATGTTACTCATACTAAAATTTTAGAATATCTTTCGAACTTAGACCTTGAGAATGAATAAGTTCTAGAAAGCTAATGCATGGCATTATGAGTATAGCCAACAATTCTATATTGCATACTTGAAAATTGCAAAGAGACTAGATATTTAATGTTCTCACCATAAATGAAATGATAATAATATAATGTGATGAAAATGTTAACTAACTTGACAATGGCAATCATATTGCAATATACATTGTAATATACATCTTAAATTTATATAATGGTGTGTATCATTAAATATCAATTTAATATATGTAAATAATTTTTTTCTGACCAGTCCAATACAATTTTTATCTGTAAAACCATCTAGATATGGTGTCTTTTGAGTGAGATTTTGATTACTGATTCAATTTACTTTTTAGTGATTTGCTTGGAGTTTTGTTCAAATTTCTTCATCTACATTTACTGAAAAATTATCTATTTCATCCAAGTTCTGATATGTACTGATATAAAATTATTCATCCATTTTTCCCACAATTTCTCTCTTTTTTGTTTTTTAATTTATTTTCTTACATTTTTATTCATTTTTGTACAGTATTTAATTTCTCCCCCCGATATTGTCCCCATATTTCTCCCACCATCATAGCATCAATGACCCATTGCCACAGTCCTTTGTGCTCCTCTTTCTGTTTTGACCCTTCTTCTTCTCCTTTCCCTGTAGTAGTCCTCAGATC